TCATTTGAAAAAAAGTTCATCATTTTACGATAATTTTTTGCGGAGTTACCGTTAACCAAAGTTGACCAATTTTTGCTCAAAATTTTTCTATGCCATAATTTTTTTGAGCAGTATATATATATATATATATATATATATAGAGAGAGAGAGAGAGAGAGAGTGTGTCGAAATTCGTAACTCAAAATGCCACAGTAACAAAGTTATTGAAAAAATAAGTTGTATAAATATTTATCATTTATCGTTTCGAAAGTTTTTGAGATAAATGCTTAAAATTATAACCAATTATGGATTATGATTAAGCAGCTTGTCCGTGAGTCGTGCGTCAATAGTGATTGCGCACGTACGTGAAATGCGTAACTCACGGATAAACGGCCGTTTAATCGTAATTTATAATTAGCCAGTTTTAAGCGTTTATATCTAAAAAATTACTGCTCGAAACAACAAATGGCAAATACTTTGAAAATTTATTTTTTCGAGAATCTCCTTTCTATAATATTTTGATTCACAAATTTCGGGACACCTTGTGTAATATATATATAATATCTCCGTGTTTAATATAATATAATAGTTTAATATAATATAATATAAATAATATAATATAATTATTAGATATTGATCTATTGGCTTTAAATATTTATGTATATTATATATCACAGCTGCGGAAAATTATGCATTAAGAGAAAAAAAGTGTACAATAAAAAGAATATTTCTTGATTCAATTAGGTATATTTAATATTATGTACGGCGCTCTCGGATTGTCAAATAATTATTTATTAATTTAATAAAATACTTGTTAATTCACAAAAATATGTTAATATTGTCGATGTATGTTTAAATAAAAAAGTATATATAATTAAACTAAAGAGAAACTGTCAATAAAACAAATTTCGTTATAAATCGAAAACTTTTTTTCTCAATGTGAAATTATTGATTTAATACGGTAAATTACTTATTCTTTAATTATTGACTTCAATAATCAATATGCGTAATGCATGCGATATTTAGTAAACTGTAATAGATAATTCAATATACATTTCTGTTTAGTTCAAGCAACATCGATCGCGGCTTTTCTTCAAAGCGTATCTAAGGTAGTCAAGCGAGCAATCAAATATTAAAGTATTTCATTGCTGTTTTCTTCTCAAGTTATTTCTTGTCTGTTAACTATTCGAAACTTCCAAATTGTACTATTAGAAAATCTTCTTCTAAATAAAAAATAATAAGGACTGTCGATATTGAAATAAAATCGCAAATAGATAGACAAATAAAAGTGTAGCGCGGTACTTAATTCGCAATAATTCACAGACATAATATTAAGATAACGGCATTAGTTCTGGATCATCCTAAGAATAAAAATTCATATTTTATTCAGAAAAATATCAAATAATCATATACATAATAACATATTTAATAGTTATCATTAATCAAGAATACTTTCAGGATTTTATTCTATTTCATTCAATACTATTTTATACTTTTTTATTTTTAATTGACTGAAATAATAAAAATTATTCACATTAGACCCTTGAATCTAGATACGGATCAGACTACTCGCGAAACATATTTAACTGTAATCAAGTATGATATTTATTTTTTTCATGAAATTTAATGCTACTTACTATCTCCTGTAAAAGCCATAAGGCAATTCTTAAACCTTATATTAAACCTTAAATTTTTAAAGATATAACTAAATTGACATTTTGCGTTTTATTACTCTAGTAAATATGCTATCAGTAAAATGTGTAGCATTGTTGCTAGTGAGACAAGAAAAAATTCATAAAGCTAACACAAATGCTAAAAAATCTTTTAATATACTTACATCATTCGATGAAAAACACAATTATTTAAATATAATTAATTATACAGAATTAGTGTCCGAGCCACATCTAATGCCCTTATCCTGTAGTTAATACCCTAATCGGTTCCTAAAGTATCTTAATCAGTATTTGCTCCGAAATTTCTTTAACTAATATTCTAGGACCCGATAAAATTTTAAATTAATGTATTTTTACTTAATTGAATAATATTTTTATTTTTAAAATAAAAATCCGAGGAATAAAATTAAACTTATAATTAGGTAAGCTTATAAAACATTTATTATAAACAATTTTTTACAATGCCATCTAGAGAAAATTGTAATAAAAGAAATAAGTGCTCTTACGAAACAAATTCAAATTTCAATTAAAGGGAGCCAAGCTAGATATTCGTGCTAACGTATATATTAATAAATTGTTGTTATATTAATAAAATGTTATATATAAAATAACAAATAAATATAAACATTAAACCGCTATATAACAAAACATTTCTACTCTGAAGTAAGTGGTCATCTTTGATGTTATTCAAACGCAATAAACAAAATAATTAAAATAACCGCAAACTCAAATCCTGATGTAATACTCGGAAGAAACTTCTCATACGTTCAATATAGATTGGTCGTCTCCAAATAATCGCAATGCTTCCGCTATCTAGAGATTTCGCGCGTAATTGAAAAAAATGTCCACTGGACCCGTGAATATCTATTACTGTTAAACATTAGAAACTTCGTATTTTATTTCTGACACTTATTTGACTCAATTGTAATTTTATTACTCTGGTCCTTATTAATATAGCTGTAGATTTTGACTTCTTTCGCATTATCGTGGTTGCACGCTTTTGACCTATATGGCTATCTACGCTGTAACTGTTACCTGACTGTCCAACCGTGGTAGCCTTGAAATTGTGCAGTAACGATTCAACTTATATCAGAGAACGCGGAATCATCTCTCTTTTTCTTTTTTTCGTTGGAGATAATTCCAAATGTAACCGAAACGGCCGACGAAGTTTGTAATGTTTAAGGTGGTTCTTTAGCAAAGTGCCGGAAATTTAGGGTGTCTCACCAGGGCCCACTAAAAATCATATTTGCATAATTTGGATGAAATATTAAAACTACGTGTATATCTAATGAAATAATATGAAACAAACGATATATATTTAGTATGCAAAAGTGAAGATGAAATAGCTAAAAAAATTTAATTTCTTTGTTCAATTTTTTTTGTGATTGAATTTGGCAACGTTGATTGTCCGCTCTCGGCTCGGTTGTGCAGCATTCTGCTATTTTTCCACGATATTTTGCTATTTCAACATTATTAAATATCTTTCCAGAATGATCTATTACTTTTTTGTGACCATTAAATCGTAATTTTTTAAACTATTATAATCTTGTTTTTTAGGAGAAGTCTTAAATCACGCACGGAAAGAATAATTTTGCTAAATGCAGATCTAAAAATAATTTTTACTCAATAATCAAAATAATTTTTTGCGAAAGTCAAAATGATTGTTAGAATATCAAAATGTTTTATAGCAATTTTTATCAGTTTTAACATTTCAATAAATTATTTTGATAATTCAACAAAAAATTATTTTCAGATCTGTTTTTAGTAAAATTTTTAGATCTTTCAACAAAATTCTTTCCGTGCGTAAGTAAGTTATATACGTAAAAAGTTACATTTTGAACATTTTTTTTCTCTCTTATTTCATCGATAATTTCCTTGCACCTTAGAATATTGCACACGTCAAGTTCGGTACTTCAACTTTATTATATAAAAAAATTGGACATTTCTATCGTAAATCGATTTACTAAGCAACTACTTTAATTATAATATACAACGTCTGTGAATTATTGCACACGAAACACCGCGCTGCACTCTCACTTGTTTATTTATTTGCGATTTTACTTCCTTCTCTGAGCTTCCTATAAGTTTTCATGTTTCGAAGTTACGAACCTACGAGTCTATCAAATTAATACGTCATTTTACCGAGCATGTGTAAACCGTACGGATCAAATATCTAAAGATTTATAAATTTAAACATTTTATATATTCAACAAGTACATATCAAGAGAACGGTTTTTTAATCTTTCGAAAAAGTGATTGCGAGTAAGATAAATCCCAAGCAGAACAAGTCATCAAAATGAAGTCAAAATGGCTCCAGAATGATTTTTAAAAATTCGAATCAACGATTTTTCTGAATGATCCTAAAATTTAGAATCTTTTGAATTCTGAATACAGATATGAAAATAATTTTGTCGAAATAATTACGTTGGAAACTCAATATTGACGAGCAATGCTGCGATAAATTTTGATATTCTGGCAATCAGTTTTTTTTTTCAACATAATTATTTTGATGGTCCAGCAAAATTATTTTCAGATCTGTACTTAGCTAAATTTTACAAGAATCTTTCAGCAAAATCGCGTTTCTTCCGTGCATTTTTCCATCAGACATTTTAACGCCATTCATTTCGATGTTATCGTAACCCGTAACATTATTGTTCAGTGCTTGGGATCTTGTCGAGCAGCTAATCCTCACCCCGGGCGTCGCAGCCGAGCAGCATTTCGAACAGCACGAGGACGCACAGTATCCTCCCCCGCCGCCGACGACGAGACGATCGATCTACTTCTTGCGGCGGATCGCGGTCACGTGCGACGTCGGACCTTTCGCGGCACATCGAGGGAGAGAACGGAGGCACGTTTTCACCGAGCGGGAGGCTCGGCAGGGCCCGACCCTTGATGGTGTCACCTGCAGCGTGTCATCCTCGAAACGTCCGGCGTGGAAGCGTTGCTCTCCACGTGTCGTCGCATCGGGGAAACCGCGCGCTCTGCAGCAGCAGTAGCAGCGGCAGCAACAGCAACGGCAACAACGGCAGCAACGACGAGTGTATCCAATTACACGGCTTCTCCGTTTTCGTCGGAGCCCTCGCTGACTGTTGATTTACACTGGATTCACGTGCACTTTGTGATGTAACCCCGCGCAATTCGAGAGACCGCGAATCACCACCGCCGCCCGGCGCCGTCGCCAACACCACCCCGCGAAAGGTCCCGATGGGTCAATTAACGCCGCTTCACAACGTTGTCCCTTTGACGACTCGGCTTCTTCTCAGTCGGACGATGTGGACTGAAAACACGAGCCGATCATTGTTCATTCGAATAAGGTCACCGGGCGGCCACTCCCGCGCGACACAAAGGGCGTATTTTTCTCGCGCGTCGAGCCGCGTGAAGGTTTTGCATTGAATCCGCCGGGAATTCAATAATGTGCGCCTGCTTTTTGTGTTCCGTCCTGCCGCGGCTTAAGTTAACGAATTCACCTCGGGGGGGAAAAACAGTTTCAACCGGGTTACACGGTCGGTTTATATGAACAGTTTACCACACGATGCTATATTTTCAACGAAGAAATCGCGCACGCGGTAATCCCGCGCGACTCCCTCGAAATCACGTGTTTGTTATCGCGCCAATTTCGATCATTCGCGATCCCTCGATCGTCGCGAACACGTAGATATACGTATATATATATAGCGGTTCCCTTTGTTTTCGAGGAAGACGCTCCTCTCGGAATTCTGTAACTTCGCGTTTAGACTGCTCCCCGCGCACGCCGCGGTTTACTTGAAAAGTTTCTCACGCAGCGAGGATCCACTTCGGCGACCGGAGGGACCGACAAAGTATATACTGGCTGTTCCTTATCAGGCGCCGTTCCGTCTCGTCGCCGTTTCCCTCCACGCAATGTCTCCTACCACCTTTTGCCGACATTCTTCTAAGGTGTGCACCTCAGATGATTTCAGATACACACCCACTCTCCAGCAGGAGTTCAACTCTCGGTGTGACCCCCCCCGAGAAAGTCCATCGGGAGCGCCGCGCCGCGCCGCGATTGTGTGCGCCCGACTCCGACGAGTATTATAGTGTGTGCCTTGGCCGATTCCCGCCGTCGCACTACCGAGTCTAGTCTCCTTGGCCTAGCGATGAATCTCTGTGTGCTGTTACACTTTCGTCGGGAAGAGGAGGAGGAGGAGGAGGAGAATGAGAGAGAGATCGTTAGAATTTTTCCATTGACCGCGCGGCGTCGATCTTTAATCTTATAATTCACCTTCTTCCGCGCTCTAAATTCAAAGGGCAACACGTACATTCCGGATATTTTTTTTTTCTTTCAGGCTTGAATGCCTCGCTCTTGTGGAATTGACTTATCGCTAATAACGTTTTTACCGGAACGGATCCCGAGACGAAAGAAACATGTAATTTGCTGTAACGTTGTTATTAAGTTATAGCTTAATGATGTTGAAGTATGTTTACGGATTTACGTATGTGACGTTAAGGTTAATGAAATACTTTGTATATAATCGTGTGTAACGCGTTCAATATAATTTCAATCCTGTTATTCGCACAAACGTAATTTTAAATAATTATGTAATTTAACAAATTATGTAATTTCCGATCTTCTAAATTATATATATATATATATGTATATACAGGGTGTCTCATAATAGGTGTATGACCGTTCATGGGTAGGTAGAACGGA